AATTAAATTTATTTTGTTAGCATTAATATTGATTTGAACTTTATTTGAGTTATTATATTTATGAGCTATAAAACTTATTGGACCATTTAAGAATGTTAACTCCAAGCTTGAAATAATATATTAAAAGATAAAACTGTGAAAAAGTATAAGAAATATTTATAAATTAAATTACAATAAATATTTGTATGTATAAAATATTTTCAAAAATTGTATAAATGTAATGTCTGGTTGGTTTAGTTTCGATTTGGCTTTTGTTAGTTAAAACCAAACCAAATCAATTATAGTCAGTTTTTTTCCCAATATCAACCCAAACCACATCGATTTTTTCTTTTTCTGATTTGACTCAAATTGCTGATTTGGTGCGATTTATCGATTTTATTTGTATATACCTAATCTTAGGTTTACACATGTACCCAAATGGACAAAATATAAAATTAAGATATAAACTTCTTAACTTTTTGAAATGAAACATGCATAATGCCTTCATTTTAACACTATTATATTATTAGGTAAAGAGTCAAAATATCTCATTTAAAAAATGTTTTTAATTAAAATTTAACTTAAAATATAGCACTTTTTTCTAATATAGCACTTTTTTCTAATATAGCACTTCTATAGAAGTAGTCAGTCGCGCCAAAATCTTGTACAGTCGCCAAGTGAGTGATGTTGAATGCTGCAGTGTCTTCAAATCCCGCCACTGTAACACAAAAATTCGTAACCTTTCTGGAAAAATGCAAATCAATTTCAGAGTTCAAGAAACTCCACGCCTTGTTAATAACCATTGGCATTTCCAAAGAAACCCAATTCAATTCAAGAATCCTTAATTTCACAGCACTATCTGATTCCTCAAACATAGGATATGCTCATAATATTTTCCTACAAACTGAAAACCCAACAATCTTTGATTACAATACTCTAATAAGGGGTTATTCTAACAGCAAAAACCCATGTAAATCTTTGTCATTATTTGTTGAAATGTTGCAAAATGAGGTTGTCCCTGACCACTTTACATACCCTTTTGTTGTTAAGTCATTGGCTAAGTTGTCTGATGTTAGAATCGGTAGGAGTGTTCATTGTTGTATTTTGAAAACTGGGTTTGATGATGACTTGTATATTTCGAATTCTTTGATACATATGTATGGTTCTTGTGGTGATGTATTGTGTGCGAGGAAGATGTTTGATGAAATGCCTGTGAAGAATTTGGTTTCGTGGAATTCGATGTTGGATGGATATGGGAAATGTGGGGATGTTGTTTCGATGAGGGAGGTGTTTGATTCGATGATGGAGAGAGACGTTGTGTCGTGGAGCTCTTTGATTGATGGGTATGTTAAGGATGGGGAATATGCTGAGGCATTGGCGGTGTTTGAGAAAATGAGAGTGGAAGGACCGAAAGCAAATGAGGTGACCATGGTGAGTGTTTTGGGTGCTTGTGCTCACTTGGGTGCGCTTGAGCAAGGGAGGGCGATGCACCGCTACGTGGTTGAGAATAGGTTGCCTATGACTTTAGTGTTGAGGACGTCGCTCGTTGATATGTATGCTAAATGCGGTGAGGTAGAGGAGGCTTTGGTTGTGTTTCGAGAGGGTTTAGGGAGAAAAACCGATGTCTTGATTTGGAATTCCATGATTGGAGGTTTGGCAACACACGGTCTGGTTACTGAGTCTCTCGAGTTGTACAAGGAAATGCAGGTTTTAAAAGTTAGACCAGATGAGATTACATACTTGTGTCTTTTATGCGCTTGTGCTCATGGCGGACTAGTAAAGGAAGCTTGGCGTTTCTTTGATGCTCTGGGTAAAGATGGCATGACAGCAAAATGTGAGCATTATGCCTGCATGATGGATGTATTAGCACGTGCAGGTCGTTTAACAGAAGCTTACCAGTTTCTCTGTAAAATGCCTATGGAACCAACTGCTTCCATGTTAGGTGCGTTACTTAATGGCTGTATCAATCATGGAAAGTTAGATCTTGCAGAAAAAGTAGGGAAAAAGCTTATTGAATTGGAGCCATTACATGATGGTAGATATGTTGGGCTATCAAATGTGTATGCGCTTAAAAAGCGCTGGGATGAAGCTAAAGCGATGAGAGAAGCCATGGATACCCGGGGAGTGAAGAAAATTCCTGGTTTCAGTGTTGTGGAGATCTATGGATCTCTTCACAGATTCATAGCTCATGATAAAGCACACCCTGAATCGGATCAAATCTACATGATTCTAGAGTTTGTTTTGTGGCAAATGAAGCTAGATAAAGATTGTGAAGAGCAAGAACAATTGTTTATGTGATATCAATCATATAGGAATCGGTATTGGAGATGGCTGCTGTGCATTACAGATGAATGACAAATGTATGTATAACAGTCAAAAGTGATTTGTCGCTATAGGATCAAGATCATGCAAATCATTTTTGGGCAGCTATAGGATGGACGGCTACCTTTAGGAGGTAGGCAACATAGTACTACTCAGATTGTGGCCAATCTTCCCTCACTGTGTCTGAGCATGTCTTGGAGCGCATTAAACTCCTACCTTGTAAGTGCATTTTGCTAGAAGTAACTCCGAGGTGAAGAAATTTGCACAATTTAAAATAAGGAAGCATACTTGTATAGTATTAATTCACAATGTGATCTCGACCTTTGTTATCATCTCCTTTTGCAGGTCGTGACTGATATAAGTTTACAGTTTGAAAATCAAGATTCACACCATACGTCAAACTTCCATTGCCAAGATGGCTTGTTGAAATGCAATGTAGCTCACCTGATACATAGCTTTGGTATTGGCAGAGCTATTGATGGACGTCATCTTGTTTGAAAATGATTGTTGCAGTCACAGAAATTGGGATAGAGTTACTTGTAGAAATCTCCAACTAGAAGGAAGCTCCTGCACAATTCGATGGAACAGGGGCCATCGTCTTAATATAACTGATCTGTCAGGGAATGCATGGTTATATAAGCTCAATTAGAAAGCAGAACTCTCTCCACTTCTTGCAAATGTGAGATCACCATTTGGTTGAAATGATGTACTCATACTGTTACCACTTTCAATGACACACTATCTCATTCTGATGAAGTATAATATATAACTACAGTTAGGCCTCTCTGTGACAGTATCGCAATATTAACAACCATTCGCTATAAAAATCAAGTTTCTTTTGGAATCAGTTTTCATGTTATGTTACATATATAACATTACTTTGTTATAACAATCAAAAAAATCTAGAACAAACGAGACTGTATAGAGAGGTTTGACTTTGCACAGTTTGAGGGGAGAACTCATACTAGAGTTGATGAAGGTATCTTATTTGCTTTATTGCTGTAAGAAGAAATTGTAGCACTGTTGTTTTGATTAATCATTCTCCAAAAGTGTGTACTACATTTTATTGGACGAGTTAATATTATATCTGTGTCCTTTGTTTACATTGCTCCCTCTTATGTAAACTCAATGTTTTTTATTTTTTATTTTTTTTATTAACCATCAGAAAATTAGGATCTTAACAACTCAATGTCTTGAACACAAATCACAAAAAGCTGTGAATAGCTCCGTCTCCTGCGGCCTTGTCTAAATCCCCGAAACACAAACCTTTACAGTCACGTTAAGATTGGAGGTGATCATTATATCGGTTTCTTAACCTTTGGAGAAACTTGAAATAGTTGTAAACCAGGTAAGGGCAAGTAAGGCTTGCAATAATGATGTTGCAAAGAGAAACTTTCAACAATACAAAAGGGAGTAAATAATAAAGTTGCCTCCGTGAGTCACGAGTTCGAGCCGTGGAAGCAGCCACTAATGCTTGCATTAGGGTAGACTATCTACATCACACCCTTTAGGGTGCAATCCTTCCTCGGACCCTGCGCGAATACGGGATTCTTTGTGTACCAGACTACCATTTTTTTTTTATTTCGCAAATATCAGGTTGGTGCCTTGTGCCTACTGCCTTGTCTCATCTATGTACTAGCGTAGCTTGTAAAGAGGGTGGCATGAGGCCTACTTTGGCAAAATAAGTCACCTAGTGACAACAGCTTGAGAGAGTAAGCAATGGTTGTTCTTTAGAGTGATCAAAACAGACACTTATGGCCAAAAGGAAAGATAGGCAAATGAATAAAGAATTAAAAAAACATCTATGTTTGGCAACAAAAGTTAAAACTACTCTATAAGTGTTTCAAAATGCGTATATAATGACCTTCAGCTACTCCAACCACTTCCTTAATATTTTAAGTTTGGATGTTCTACTTCTGCTTCCATCGTATTAGTGCCAAATTGTGGCAAGTTCATTCTTGTGAAAGTTTCTTTCAATTCCTTCCTGAATTGTATATGGTCACTACTAGCTCTTGCTTTGAGCTTCTTTTTACTCAATATTACTCATTGAGCCATTAAAATTTCTTCAGTTCCATGCTCAGCTTGTTAACCTTCCTCTCTTTGCTAATTCGCGTTCATCAAAAAAAAAAAAAAAAAAAAAAAAAAAAAAACTAGCCCATCTATAGTATCGGGTTACACGCGTAGGAGGGTATAAGAGATATAATTTGTTTCATGCCAATTATGTACAAGTTACGAAATGATCTTATAACAATCATGGATTACTCCATCTATTATCTTAAAGGTTTTGACTTCCAAAAGGGTTCATAGCGGTCCTAGACTACTATACCATTGCATATAATATATTTTGATTCCAACTCAAAAAAATTTCACTGTCAAACTACCAATCCTCTCTAAGTTTAGGTTTGTGTAGGGACATCCTTAGCATGAGACTCAACAGAATCAATGATCTCTCTCCCTGTCCAACCGACTCTATACGACAGAGTGCACCTATCGCGTATTGCTAACAACACTAGGCGTCCTCATCAATAGCTGTTAACTTGGTGCATATCCTACAGCGTTTGAACCTTCCTTTTCTACAACAACAACAACAACAACAAACCCAGTGTAAGAACCTTCCTTTTCTATTTGTGTACTTGAAGGAGAAATACCTGTGGGAAAGCCAACAAAAAGAAGAAGCAGAAGAAGGGACTAGCAATGAGTAAACTTTGCAAAGAATCCTTTGAAACTTTTCAATTATGCCAGAAATTAAGGTACCAGTCATTAGCAAATACAGAAATGTTACAATAGAAGAGTGAAATTTCTCAACATTAATCTCCTCAGGAGCTTCAAGTGAGGGAGCTTTTCTTATTGGTTGGCCCATTATTATCAGCAGTACCTCCTAAACAAGCTGCAAACTTAGCTTCTAGAGCTTCCAAATAGGCTGAGTTCATTGCAGTTGCGCTTTGTCAATCTGTAGTGACAATTTCATTTAACATGAGTAATGGCCAACTGAATAGAAATTTCATCTATCAGGAAGATGGTGCAGTAGACAGCATTGCAAAACCAATGGAAAATCCACAAAAGAAAGGTACAATGGAAAAGCTTCCTCTCAATTGCAAGGAACAGAATTCTGAGAATGCTTTGGAAAAGCTTAACGCACGTAATCATAGTGCTGCATACCTTTATCGGGCTTAAGTTGGACTTTTCTCTTTTTTCTACTTGTCAATCTGAAGTTTAGGATTTAGTCACAGACCGATGGGATTTTTCCAATTTAGCAAAGCTTGCCCAGCAGCAAACTCCAGCATGTCAGCTTAGTTATCCTCGTCAAACCACTTAATATGTTCCTCTCTAACCAAGATGGATGCATATCTCCTCCAGTAAATATTTTGGGCGGTCGACGCTCCAGAGTTGCTGATTGCTCCTGCAATTTTTGCCAACGCCGTCCAGATATTCCTCCTCATCTGGGCATCCAAGATTTTCAGAAAAAAGGAAACTATCATTCTGGATGCAAACATATATAGTACTAACTGCAACCTTACCTGTTGTGAAGAATTCCAGCAACATTTTCATTTTTTTTTTCTTTGAAAAGTCAAAATTTCATCATAAACAGAAATCAGTTGTAAAAAAGTGTGTACAAGAAGTGCATCTGACCCAAACTCGAGTTATCCATAATTGTCTATCAATTCCAACTATCAATATGATACAGTATCCTCTCGCACCCAAAAAAAAAATTAAAAAGAAAAAGATCATCTTTTAATGCCCTTTACATTGTACTAACTATTTCCATACATTCTTGACATTTCCTTAGTGAATACCATGAATGAAATACCAATGCAATCACAGAGTTAAATTGGAGAAAGAACAAAGAGACAGAAATTAAGGCTATGCTTGCTTCTGTTTCCATAAATTTTTATGTGCTCTTCCCCACAAGCTCCATCCATCACAAATATGAAACAGCTTTTTCTGTAATGAACATTGACCACATAGGTAATATTGACAACTGAAATGCTTTTAGTGTTGCATCAACTTAAAGTTCAATATATGCAAAACAATATCACTTGTATTGGGTTTCAAAATGGCAAACGTGTGAGATTTATGGACAGATGAAGCAGACTATTTACAACCTGACAAGCTGCAAATGATTGTTCATTGTCCAAATATCCAGAAGAGATAAAGGATCACATTGTACATTTTTATCGTAAGATGTTTTTAGAAGAGGAAAAAATGGAGGCCACAGTTGTTAGACAATAATCTGGAAAAGTTAACAGAGGAGAATAAGGAACGGTTACATAGGCCCTTTATAGAGGTGGAGCTAGTTACAGACAGTTCCTTGGCTTCTTATGGGTGGGGTCCATCACCAATATCTAGAGTTCTTTATATTTGTGGTGTCTGGGACAACTTGCTTGCATCTCGGCTATTCCACCGGGTAACTGCTACCTCCCACTAGCACAAGTACCGGGTAATATGTCGGAAAATTTGAAGTGCATCGTTAAGCAAAAGGGGATTCAACATGTCAACACACCAAGACAACTTAATTGGAGTAGCTACAGAGCAAGTAGAGCCATTAAATGAACCATACAATGAGCTCATTCAAGGATTTATATGTAATGTGTAATGTGTACAGAATGTGTAACCAGGGACTTTCAAGGATGAAATTGTAATGTGTACAGAATTTATATCTGGGACGCCTTAAAGTACTTAATGAGTGGACCCAAGATACAGCCACCAAGATACATAAAGCTTGGTCACAACAGAGTACCTCCAGTTTTCGACCAGATCTTATCCATTTTGAAACATTTAATAAAACAAAATGAAGTCACAACAGAAAGAGTTATTTAGACAAAGAGCAGAAAGCTTGCAAGAAACATACCCCTCTGTGTGGTGCCATAATATCAAGCACAAGGTTTAAAACCTCTTTTTGAACAAATGGAAACTGCTCCTGCTGTATAACTTTTTCATTGACGATGCAATCAATATTGCGGCACAGAAACTCATCAGTACACTAAAACGACAAGTGTAGAGCACGGCACTTAATGCTTTCCATTTCCTCGTTTTAGTTCTTAATCCGCAGTAACTACGGATGCAAACAGAGGTCAAGAGAGCTGAACAATCCAATCATGTCAACCGATTTCAGAGATGCTACAAAGTGCTGTAAAATGACCCTCCTCCAACAGGATTTTCACATTTGAGGAAGTCCTTGGATCTGCTAACAGGGAAAGTATTGCCTCTTTAAGAGTAGAAAGATCCTTACCATTTAAATCTTGAAGAGACTCATCATGGACCACCTTTTCTAGTACATTAAAAGCTTCTTTAGGATTCAAATTGTTTATAAAAGCTTTTATTATCACTATGTAGACATATGGATCAGGTTTCATCTCCTTCCTCTCCATTTCCTGCAGATAAGTCAGCGCAATATCTGGCTTTCCACACTTGCACAGACCACTAACGAGAGCCATAAAAGTTACTCTACTTGGAAGGCAACCCTTTGACTCCATTTCGACCAAAAGCCTCATAGCATCATTTGGTTTGCCAGCATTGCATAACCCATCTATTAGAGTGGTGTAAGTAATGACATTGGGCTCCCGTTCTTTTTCGGTCATCCTAGTGAGATTTACAATGGCCCGATCTATATCACCATTTTTGCACCACCCATCAATCAGTGAGTTGTAGGTAACAACTGATGGAATTAGCCCCTTATCCATCATTTCATCAACAAGACCCTGGGCTTCAAGTACTCTTTTGGCCTTAGATAGGCCATTTATCATTATGTTATAAGCAACTACATCGGGGCAGTGACCCCGAGCACAGATCTCTTTGAAGAGATCCAATGCTTTATCCAACTGTTTAATCTTAATAAGACCATCTATGACTGCCGAATAACCAACTACATCAGGCAGAAATCCTTCTTGAACCATGTCAGCAAGAAAGTTAGAAGCTTTGACTGCTTGCCCATCTTTGCAGAGTTTCTGCATGAGCAGCGTGTAATATTTTATCCAAGGTTGATGCCCATGCACACGCATCTCCCTCACCAGAGCAAGGGCGCCCGCATCATCCCCTTGCCTACATAAGCATCCAAAAATTGAGTTGTATGTGTAATGTGTTGGCCGAAATTCTGATTGTTTCATCTCATTCAAAAGCTCATAGCATTCATCAAGTCTAGCAGACCTACTCAAATAATCAATTAAATTATTGTAAAGTAGCACACTGCGTTTACAACCAATATGGTCCATATCTCTAAACAGGCTGAGAGCCATTTCCAACCTATCCGCCCGACACAAACCATCAATAACTATTTCAAACGAAATAGTATTAGGACAAACAAGTTCCTTCATGGAAAAAGGATTGTCCTTGTTAAAATCACCACCAGATTCAAGACCCGTTGATGCACAAAGTAGACGATATGCTTTATCAGTTGAACCATTGTTAATAAGTCCTTTCAGGACAGAATTATACAACAGCATCCTATCTTTCAGTTCAAGACTCTCATACCTCTCCTCAACTATTCGGATCATATCTCTTTCATCACGCACACAAGACATAAGGTCAGTAAGTATTTTAATATCAGGACGGACACCTGAATCATTCATTTCCTCGTACAGCTGCATAGCTTTCTCAATCTCACTATTCCTAGACAACTCTTCTATTAACACACCATAAATAGAAATGTCCAGCACAAAGCCCATTTTCCTCATTTTATCCAACAGTTGCAACGCTTTATCTGTTCTGCCTTCCCTCACAAAACCATGAATCAGAACAAAACATGTCTTTTCATTTAAGCTAATATTGAGATCTTCTATCCTCTCAACCAACTCAAACGCCTTATCCACCTTGCCCCACTTGCTAAAGGAAACCAACAAGATCGACAAAACATGTGCATCAACCAATTCTTTCTCGCGCATCTCATTAAAAACAACCAACGCATTTTCAAACATCCCCGCATTGCAGTAACACCGCAAAGTAGGTGTCAGAGCATACTTATCAAGCTGCCACCCATAGCTATTCATCTCCTTCAATCTCAGCTCAATTAAACCAACATCACCACCCTTAGATATAGCATCTAACAAGCAGTTATAACTAAAACTATTCGGAACACAAAGACCCGATTTTTGCATATGATCAAACAATTCATTAGCCTCTTTAACCAACCCTTGATTACTCAAACACCTAATAAAGAAACCCAAAGCACGTGGAGTAAAATAACACTGACATTTAATCACATCATTAACCAACATTCTCATTGAGTCAATTTGTCGAGCAGCTGATAGACACTCGGCCATTAAATTAAATGTATGACAATTATGACTAAAACCACTTTGATTCTTAGCCCAATTATAAAACAATTGAGCTATTCTCCAACTTTTGAGCCTTTTAAGAACAAATTCAACAATTAAAGTTGTAATCTTTGGACCCAACTCATCAAGTTCTTCGCTTTTTGATGTATCAAGGCGCTCAGTGAATACGTGTACAAGTTTATCAACGATTCTGGAATCTTCTAGAGAAAGTGGGGGGAGAAAATTTTGAGGTTTTTGGCAAGTCGGTGTTGAAGAAAATTGAAAAAGATTGTATTTTATAAATGGGTTTTGAATTTGAGTGTTGTTGTTCTGAGTATATAGGTTGAGGAATTGTTTGAGTGATCTGGAGAAAAGAAAATGGGATCTTTTGATTCTACAGAAAGCAGCCATTGAGTAGTTTTGTGAAGAGTGGTGAGAGCATTTAGTTGTGTATTGGAGTATTACTCCATTGTCTAAATTCTTTAAGAACAAGGAAGTGTGATTACTGAAATTGATTAGCTTTATATAGGCTCATAGGTTTCGGGGGTGAAATGAGCACTCAGTTCTTTTGTCTTTCTGGAAGTTAAGTTGGCATATTCAACACAAAAATACTTTAATAAGCACTTTAACCAACAAAAGAGAAAGATTTTTGAATTTTGTGATCTTTAAAATATAGAGGGTAAAAAATATAATAATTATTGTAATTATAAAAACTTTTTGCTAAGGGTAAATTATTTCTTCATATAGAACTGTACTATTCTTTTATGGAATAGACTAATAAGAAAAAATTGAGTATATATCACCATTGTTTTAATAGTTGAAATATTTTGAAAATATTTGAAAAAAGTGATGCAACTACTTGAACAAATGCATGTTGGATGGACCGAGGGGCGCATCCAGCCCTTTAGCATCGGGTTCAACTGACAAACTCTTTCACGAACTGGACTCGAACCAACATCTCTGAGAGCAAAAGACAAGCCCAGAAAGCAACCTTCATTTTGATCGTGACAAAAAAAAAGAAAAAAGAGAGGGAACTTGGAGATTGCAGCTAGATAGTAGGTGGCAGGCGAAAGCTAAAGATGCATAGAATGTCCTGTTAGGAAAACCCAGTACTTTTAAGTGCAAAGCATAAATTTATATGTAAAAATATATTGAAATTACAATAAATAATTAATATGAATCCATAACTTTAAAAATATAATGAATTCGATGCTAAAAATTTTGATGGTTGAACCTATATAATTTAAATCCTGATGGACCTTCTAAATAAACACACACAAAAAAAAGAAAATCATTAAAAGAGTTATTTTCAATAATAATTATTATAGTGGGACTAAACATTTCAATAGTAAACCACAAAACTGTATTTACACAAAGGTTAATATCATTGATTATTAGAAGAAGATTAGAAGTCCAGACTGGCAATCAATGGCAAATGCAACTCATGCATCAACGCCTCAACAACTTGATCAAATTGTTCTCTACTTCAATGGATATTGTTTTATTTACTCTTACAGCTCTAACATTAAGTACAGTATGTTCCTGCAACCAAGTACAATATCTACAAGTTCTTAATAGCGGTACTTGGTAGAGTAATCTTTAGGTGCAATAACTAGACCACGACCCTTTCTTGCACCACGATACACTGTCTCAACAATGTCGATGAATTCCTGTTTATCCTTAAGCGCCCAATTGATCTTGTTATTGTTCCCGGTGCCAAGATCAATCATAATGTGCTTGTTCCTGAAGAAGAACATAACAGTGGACGGATCATACAATTCGTACATCGTGTTAAAATCAGGGACCTCGGTGATGTCTACCAGGTAAATCACAGCAAAGTTCTTTATTGTCTCTGCAACTGAAGCCAGCACCTCGTCCATCTGGATTCCAGAAACAAAAATAAGTGATTAAAACCAAAAGGAATATCTACGGATTTACAAGGCAAAGTATCTAAGACACCTAAAAAAAAAAGGCAAACAAGCATAGAAGCACGCCATTATTTGAGATAGGGGCAAGTCTTACCAGGGCCAAGGTCCTAAAACTCAAGTGCATGTTATTTGTGTTATGTTTGGGAAGACAGACACCTTGAGCAGAAAGGCGGAGAGTATGGGAGAAGGGAAACATATGTAAAGCACGCCTCAAGTTCCATTCACAGGACTTATATTCCAAACTTATTAGCCACCTGAAATTACAAGTTCTTTTACAAACTCCCTTTCTTTGTTACTTGTGCAGGATAGGTATAAGCGAGAATCAATAACTCCAAAACATAGAAACTTCTTTTTTTTTTTTCCACAGGCAAAAAGAGTTTTAATCACTTGATAAACACGAGACATAGTCGAATAGAACTATTACTACCAATACTGCTATCGACTCTATATCAACATTTATCAATTTTATTCTACAGATTTATATATAGCAATCAATCAACTACACCTCAACTATATAGGCCATGGATTTGATCCGTGAAAACAGCGTGAATGCGGGATGCCCTTTTTACTCCAATATTCTATTTGCCTATCACTAATGAGGCAATCAGGTGATTCAACCCAATAATCAATCAAACTCAAACTAGTTGGGCTCCACCCCTACAATTATAAATCCTCTAGAACTATTCCACTCTATTTTAGCCATCAAGTTTCTTCTTTTATTTAGCCACCATTCAAATTCTCTTAAGAAACATATCATATAAATTGGGTCTGACAATATGAATCCTCCATAATATATCCAGAGATTCTTATTTTAACTAATAATTGCCCACCAAATTTCCTACTATTAAGAAAATTCAGGAAATTAACAATTCATACATTCAAATGCTTATACATCAAAATTCAAGGTATCAAGAGATATATATGGTTAGCTTACCTGCATGCAAGTATCATCCCAATCATGGCCAAAACGAATGATGACAAGGCGTTCCTCTTCAGCAAGAATAGCTTGATCCACTGCCCACCCTGAGTGAAGATGTGGCAACAAGTACGACATCTCTCTTTCCCCCTCTCCCTCTCTCTCTCTTTCTCTCTCTCTCTAGATTTTGGATTTCTTGCTCTTTTCTTTATGTAATGAATGAAAAAGAAAGAGTGAAACAGCTGAGACAAATGAACATAAACAGAGTTTTTGGAGATCCGTAAGTATATAGGGGACCAAAGTGCTGGAAGGGTCTCGAATGTCCTAGTAGCCCAGTACCACTTTTCTGCTTTTATTAAAGTTTTGGGGGTGGATTGTGTTATAAAATAAAGACTATAAAGTAAAGACAAGTATAGAGAGAAACTGATATATTATTTGAATTCAAACTGACATACATAATGAACTGAAATCTTTTCTATTTATAGAAGAAAGGAAGCTGCTGTGTAAGCTGCTACTACACGCTGTTGTGTAAGCTGCTATTACAAGCTGTTGTATAAGCTGCTGTGTAAGCTGCTACTATAAGTTGTTGTGTAAGCTGCTACTACAAGCTGCTGTGTAAGCTACTACGCAAGCTGCTGTGTAAGCTGCTACTGCAAGTTGCTGTGTAAGCTGCTACTGCAAGCTGCTGTGTAAGCTGTTAATATACCAGATATGGATAATCTTCTACTGAGAGCAATGTTTATCCATAACGGAGTACTGAATGGATAAGCTTATTATACCCGGTATGGATAATCTTCTACCTAGGGTAATGTTTATCCATAACCGGGTACCGAAGTGATAAGCTTCTTCAGGAAGCTTATTTCCAATAGAGTACTAAATGGATAAACATATTTACGGTGGAGTCCCATATGGATAAGCTTCTTCAGGAAGATTATTTACAACGGAGTACTAAATGAACATCCATAATATAATATATTTATAACACTCCCCCTTGGATGTTCATTAAAAGATAATGTGTCTCGTTAAAACCTCACTAGAAAAAACCACGTGGGAAAAATCCTAGTGAAGGAAAAAGAGTACACATATTTAGTAATACGCATTGCTAGGTGCCTCATTATAAACCTTTTAAGGAAAACCCATGGGAAAAAAATCTTAGTAAGGGAAAAAGAGCGCATCGCGTATTTTACTCCCCCTGATGAAAACCTTGTTTCAAATATTTGAGTCTCCGCATTCCAATCTTGTATACCATCTTCTCAAAAGTTGAAGTTGGCAAAGATTTAGTGAATAAATCTGCTGGATTATCACTTGAACGGATTTGTTGCACATCAATGTCACCACTTTTCTGAAGATCGTGTGTGTAGAATAATTTTGGTGAAATGTGCTTCGTTCTATCTCCTTTTATAAATCCTC